CCAGTAGTAGCGTGTTTGTCACGGAAGGTAGAGGTTGAGACTAAGGAGTCTCACGCATTCTACAGTATCGGGGCCTTTTCTTTCAGAAGTGGGGGAGGGAGGGAGGGGTGCCTCTCTACCTTGGCCCTTGAGGAGTCTCTCATTTGACTCTTGAAAAACTCAAATCTTGTATTTTTTTACCCCCACTTCTTCTAGCCAGTTAGACTACTCAGGCAGATGGGAGCAACTGATGTAATTGTCACTGCACAAATACAGGTCTGCTCAACTCGATGGTTGTCCATGCTCATATCGCCCTCATGGCACTTCTCACTGGGCCAGAGGTCTCTATAACCAACATCTCTGACCAAGACGATTTCTGGTTCAAGTCTTACCAATTTTTTAGATTCTATTTGTGTTAATGCGTTACTGGTTTTGTTCCACTTCCTTGCATTGTTCTTTTTGTTGTCAGTTTAGGTCACAAGCCACCCGTTTGTGTCAGAGCGGACATTGCGGATTGGTGGTTTTTAATCTTACACCGACAATCTTCTAATATGCTTCATGTATCTTTCTTTAAATGAGAAGCAGCCGTGGTTTCTCGACTAGAACAAGGCGACATATTCTTGAAAAGGTCGAATATGAAGTCTTGGACTGTTGTGCACAAAAGTACCCAGCATATTTTTCTTTCTTTGACCTGTTCATTTTTTTCCTTCTCTATAATATTATTAATGCCATTTTTAGGTTGGAGCTCTCCTTCCTGTATACTTCTGAACATTTTGTTGTGAGGGTTGGATGGAATGTATGCTCTCATGTCATGAAATCACTTGTTGACTTTTTGCTGTAAAATAATCCAGATTATTCATGCAAGGTTTTGCTGTGTTTTGTACAAGAGCGAGAATGGTGCAACAATGGAGAAAGAAAGAAAGAAAGAGGATGACTAGACTGTAGATCTTGTAACACTAATCTTGTATTTCATGGGATTTATGTTTTTTTGTTTCCACTGAACTTATGAAGGAAAACTTATGGCTATAGCTAACAATACACGTTTGTTTGTCATGGTGCTCCAGGTCTGCAGACTTCATTGTATTTACTACTTAAGTCCACATTTACTACTTTAGTCCGCGTCATGTGTATTGTGTTCTTTGTTTCCATTTTTGTGTTTGGTGGTGCACTTTTCTTTTCTCATCCTTATTTTTCCTCTTCTTCTTTTGTAGGTTTGTCACTCTCTTGTGAAATGCTATTTCCGGGGTGCCTTGATAGTCGAAGCAGACTAAGTAGTAAGTGCTGTTGAGGCTAGAGAGGTGAGCAGAATAAGCTTGATTCCCCCGTTTGGACTTTTGTGTTGACATCCACCCCTTTGCGCTCATATGACCTTATGCTGTTGCGAGTACTGTAAAACCTTACTAAAAAACAAAAAAAATCTTATAGATAGGTTCAGACTTCTGACAGATCATGGGTGGTTGGTGGGTGCTGTGGTGTGGTTTGCTCCTTCTGTCCTATGAAACATCTGTCATTGCTATCTCTCCTCCTTTTTTTTGTTTTTTGTTACGGTTTCGGTTTTGTGACAAACCAGATCTTCTACATAGGTGGTTGGCAGGTGCTCTGGTGTGGTTTGCTACTACTTTCCTGTCAACTATCTGTTGGCCTTATCTCTCCTCCTTTTTTATGTTTGGTACTCTCTTGTAACATCTCTACTAATCTTCAGCTCCTATGACCTAATTGTGTTGCAAGTGCCATAAAATGATTACGGTACTTAAAGACCCAATTGTGTTGCAAATACCGTAAAACTCACTAAAACAAAATATGGTCATCCGTCCAAGTGGGAACCTGGTCCCCTTCAAGACTCAACTTTCAGACTTCTCAGACCTTGAGCAATGAGGCTTTTGGTAATGATGAACTCAAGTTTCTATGATATGCAGAGGGCACGACCCCTTTGGTGTGAGCGCACCCATCCACACCAGGATTGGGAGGCCCAGGGACTGTTAATGCCATTGACACCACCCCCAAAGCTGGCTCAATCATAGAATGTAAGTGTAATTTACTCCCCCATCGACACAGTTCATATCATTTACGAGGCAGGCTCTGATCCTGCCTGTCGGGCAAATACATCCCAGCAGAAACACAGAGATACTCAGTTTTCTCCCCACTCGGGAATCAAACTTGGGTCCCCTGCATGGAACAGTGAAGTGCACCACTACACCACAGACCCTGGTCACCAAGTTTTGGGAAACCGAGGATACAGAGCAAGAAAAAAAACTACATTGCATCTAGAAAGACATACATGTACTTAGTAAAAGATCTTAGATTGATGATCAGTCAGAGAGAGAGAGCCTCCACCTCATTCATAGCAAAATAGTTTGTCGCTGTACACCTGTGTGATGAAGGAGTTGGGAGCCAACTGGCTCGTCTAATTGCACTGTAACTTTTTCAACCAAAGCATAAAATCATAGGTGCATGGGGCTTGAAGATCAAGCTTAACATTTTATTTGCCTACCGAAGATTCAGAATGTCATTTCCGAGTTCAGCTCACCATTATATATCTTTGTACAAGGGATTGAGATGTTCCTCCTTGAGTCAGGTTTCTCCTGATTTGGCAAATTTACTACTCTTTGCTCAAATAGGTACAGTTCACACCCACTACAATCACTTTTTTAAACCAAAAATAGTAGGCTACAACACATGCTTCCAAACTAGAAATTTCTCCAGAAAAATTTATTAGCTGCTTGTTTAAGGCAGGAAATTTGTTTCAGACGTCCACATACAACTGACAGCAATCGGAGATATGTATGTACAAGGGAGCAAGGATAAAGCCAAATGTAATTCAACTTTCTGAAGGCAAGCTCGGAGGAGTTAGCTGAAATAAAATGAATGACAAAACAACAAAAAAAAAGGACAATGAAATGAGGGCAGATCAATTGGTAAAACTAAACATTACAACATTTACATGTACATCTGTTTCCATATAGGGATAAGTATTTCAGAGTTTTTGCTGACAAGGAGTTGACTCACATCACATCTACAGACAGGCCCTACTTAAGGAACACACAGAGAAGCAATCACAGATACTGCGTAGTACTAAAGGTGCAAACTTGATTCCAGTCCTTCAAACTGCGAGAAACAGTTCTTTAGTCCTGAATCACTAAGAATACCGGCAGCTGAAAAGCTTTAGAAAATAAAAATTGCTCAAGTTAAAAATCAAATGTAGAAGACTCCATTAATTAAATGAATTTTCACAATGAATACAAAGCAAGGAATAAATACGCACAAGCAGTATCTCACCTGCAACACAGCCAAGAGTTCATTACATTATGTATGGACATATCAAACAATCGCTTTGAGACAGCAGTCACTGCAGACTCTGGATCCTTAAATTAGACCACAATGTCTTCATGACCAATGAGAAATGCTCAGCCAGCCACGATTTGCTGAAATTACTACTGAAAACTTCATAAAGTCACAAATATATAACAACAGATATTATAAATCCTACAAGCAGAAGCTGCCATGAGAAAGCGGCCGATGTTCTTTTCCAACATTAGAAATCGTTGATTCAGTTCTATTTTTTTTTACACTGCATCAATAAAGTTTTTTAAACAAATTTGAAGGGGAGAAATGCACAGCAATGTTTTCAACAAGAAATGAGAACAGGATGAGATGGGACACATGTTGATGGCAGTAGTGAATGAGACTAGTATAGCCTATTGTAGCCCAGGTGGATAGTCAATGATCAAACCTTGAGACTGTTCTAATCAGCAACAAGTCTTGACGGGAAAAAGGAAAAACTTGTGTCAATTATTCTTAGTAAAATCTACTTTAAATTTTATCCACTTATCAAGATAAATGAAAGAAGTGGGAGGCGTCAATTTATCAAGGAAATGTTTCACAAAACCTGACAAAGATATATTATACAGACCAATAAAAAAGTTCAAACATATGCTGATCTGGAAGAGAGACATCAGCAACAAACAAGACAACATTACCTCTTTAAAGTATGTCAAGGTCAAACCACTCCTTTCAGTCAGTGGAGCCTGATGTGCAACTTAGCTACAAAATAGCCTTCTCTCAACAATTTCAGTTAATAAATTAGACACAAAATTTTCTTCCAACTATTTCAGTTAATAAATTAGACTGAAGATTAGCTATCAAACAGAACTCTTATTATTAATATTTTTTTAAGGTTGAATTTTGAAAACCAAATGAGGTGATATTAGTATTAGATGATGTGAGTTGTGATAAAAAATGACTGGCAAGGGTAATGTTTGGTGAGGATGAATTAACAGGCACGTTGTCTTAAGGCTGTCTCTACTGGTGTCTTCCAAATGACAAAGAGCTCCAGAAGATGAAGAAGGTGAAGTGTTTGGGAGGAGTTCCCCTGTGACAGAGTGATGCAGAGAGTTGGGAACAAAACAGTTCACTTTACCTTTGCTGTGATTGATATATATATATATATATGCCATTAATCTGACTCCGGCAGAGAGCAGAAACAACTTGACCCCCAGCATGATGCAACACAGTGCCCGAGGCACGCGAGTCGAACACATGACAGACACTTTGGGCAACTGTGTGACTTGCTTGTCTATTGCCAAATGTAGCCCACACAAAGGCAAAGAGAACCCTCCTGTCTCAAAACTGGAACACCTACATGAAACTTTCATGTTCATCATTCACTTTAAGGACTGCAGGCATTACAATTCAGATTTAGACGCAATAAAAATCAATGTGAAACATCTACAAAATATTATCTATTTTAAGTCGTAGAATCAATGGACAACAAGTCATCATTATTGTACAAAAATATACAAACTGCTTTGTAATAGGTCAGTCTCCTCACAACCTTCAGAAATTGCACTAAGAAACAACTGCCTTCCCCGCAGTGGAGTTTTATCTCACTTCATGGCTGCTGAGAGAGACAGATGAGCAAGTCAGTGTTTTCAAGTATGTATATGAACTCTTAGCTCATTCACTACAAACTGCCAGGACAAGAAAGATGCGCTTTCCAGATCGAAACAAAAACGTATCGCTTCTTAGCAACTGCTTAGTGTGCTGTAAGACTCCACCATATCCCATTTCGAAAAGTTGCGTATGAAGGAGTCTTACACTAAGCAGTCATTATGAATAAGGCTAAAAATGAAACCGAGACACACTGGAACTAATAAAACACTATGAGCTTTAAAAATAACAAATGTAAGCTGCTGGGAGCATCAACATGCATAAATTGTGAAGCAGGAGATCTTTTCACTTGACTTTATCCTTTGAAGCGAGTCACACAGCAGAAGAAATAGATGACCTTTTTGTTTTGAATTACTCTCTAAAAAGTGACAGTCTTTGGACACAAACATGAATCAAATGTCTTTCGTCACATACACCAAAACCTTTAAGAATTTCTTTAAAATAGAAATAATCCTTGGTTATGCTCAAAGTGAAAGATTACTATGTACAGTGCATATTACAAATCGACTCCATTAACATTGGCCTTCCCATTGTTGATGCTGCTCTTGGAGTCTCGCGAGCCAGTGAACTTAGCTAACAGACTGCTGTGTCTGCGAGGGGGTTCTGGCTTTGGCTTGTTGGCCGGTGCCTGTGCATTGGATGCTGAACGTACCACACTGACCACGGACTGCTGGGAGCCCATACTTGTGCCAGAGCTGCTGCTGGTGCTCTCGCTGCTGCTGCCACGTTCCTCCCGGTCCAGGGCCATGGTCATGTGGGGAGGGGGAGGCATCGGGTACTCATCAATTCCCACTTTTGAGTTACGAATCGAGCCACGAGAGTTCCTTGAGAGAGTGCTGTCTCTTTTACTGTCACTTTGAGCCTGGATGGCCGGAGCCTTAGCTTCAGATAGCATATGCTGCGGAGAGCTTTTCTGATTCTGCAAATCTGGTCGGTTCAAGTTGGCGTACAGTCCAGTGGCAATGTCTTTCTCAAACTTGGAGAGTGGGTTTTGCTGAGGGATGGGTTTTGGTGTGGAGGAAAGAGGACCCCCAGAGAGTCTGTGTTGACCGAGGACTCCCCCAACAAACCGAGGTGGCGTCTCCTCTGATTGCGGCCTCAGGACAGTAGAACTGAGCCCACCATTGACTGGGGATAGATTCGCCGAAGTCGGACGACTACCCTTCCTGGGGGGTGGAGGAGGAGGAACTTTTTTGTGTCTCATGGTGACTTCACCTGCTGCTGAAGTATCCACTGACAGCAACTCGGTAGAGGACAGAGGAGGAGGGGGAGGGGGTGGATCATCAGATTTGTCTGCAACTAACATTGGGATGCTGCTCCGTGACGGCGAGCTGAGAGGGGATGTAACTGTCTTGCTGGATGATGTTATCGTAGTTGTATTGGAGTTGGGGGGAGGTGGGGAGGCCAGGTCTTTTGGGGGACTAATGGAAAAAGAACCAGGGTTGGTGGGGGACTTGGGGCTTGCGGTGCCAGACAGAACCAGATTGATAGTGGGACCAGGGGTCACTTTGCCCACCACGCCCCCTGCATTGACGGTGGCAACGGGGCCTGGACGAACCACAGGGCTTGGGTCTAGTAGGGCGGAGTTACGGTTAGGGGAGTGCATGTCGGGGGAAGTAGGCGGAGTGTTCATGGAGCTGAAGAAAGCTGAGCGAGCAGCCTGTTTCTGTGTGGCCAAGTCCACTTTCTCCACAGTGGGCAGATCATCAGGGTGCCCGTTGACCTCTTTCTGAGATGCCCGAACGTCCCCATTGGGCGGAGACACTCGAGCAGTTGGCCCTGCTTCTGCCACCGCTGTGGTCACAGTGGACGCCACACTTTTGCTGACCTCTGTCTTTGGCCTCAGCTGTACACCCTCAGAAGAAGGCTTGTCAGAGAACGTAACACTCAACGGCTTCTCCCGGGTAGGGGATTTGACCAGATTTCCAGGCTTTGTGAACACAGGCGGCTTGACTGGGCTACTTGGGCTGACCGTGGGGAAGGTTGATACAGACATATCTGACTTGTGGCCAGTCTCGGTGCCCACTTTGACTGTGTGTGTCACCGCACCCGTGCCCGACTGGACATTGCTGCTGAGACGTCCGGTGGTCTCTGTCAGTGGCAACGACACGGCTCTGACAACTGACGGGCCATGCTGTGATGCAGCGATGGTCGACACAGTGTTAGTCGCTGGTGTGTTAGCGCTGGTCATAGCAGAAACGGTCGCTGTTGGCTTGTCCGTTGTCTTCCCTGTCGACGTGAGCGCTGCTGTGAACGACGGTTTCGGGCAGCTTACACTCGGTGCTGTAGTGACTGATGCTGCAGTTGTGACTGTGGCTGTTGATGCGGAGGGCAGTGAGGAGGTTGATGCTGCAGAGGAATATGTCGGTGCAGAAGATGAGCTGGAATATGCAGTCAGAGAAGATGGCTTGGACGGTACAGCCGGTTTAGAGACACTTGGGTGACTGGTGGTCACTTGAGACACTGGCACATCAGACACTCCCTCGGTGATTCTGTCACCTGCCGCTGATGGAGGCCGCAAGTTCTTTGAGGCCATTTCCAAACTTTTGCCAAACTTCAGAGCTTCCTGCTGGGTGCTGATCTTTTTCTTTCGTTCTCTCGCTGCTTCGGCAGCCTGGGTAAGGAATACAGAAGTATTAGTTCAGGGAATGTGGATTCAGCAAACCCACTATGCTTCAAGACATTATAGGAAACAAAAAAATAAATTAAGAAGTTCACAAATTCAGCAAAACTTCACTATGAATAAATATAAATTTTTTAAAAATAAATAAATAATGACAAATACTATATCTCTCCTATGGACAACTTGTAATTGTAATCCATCAGTTTAACACTACATTTAAAAAATTCACTTGATGCAAAATCTCACTTGGTGAAGGAGACGTAAAACGGTTCTCACAAGTTCTTCTTTCAGTTCTAGTTTTCTTACTAATTGTGTGACTTTTCTTGAGGAATTTAAATTAAGAGACTGATAGCAATCTTATGAAAAATATGCTGCGAAGAAAATGAAATGTTTTCATACAAGAAGAAAACAAAGAAGGCTGAATTCAATCATTTCAGTTCAAAGAACCTCCAAGGAAACAAATCTCCATATAATATCATGTCAACTGAGAACTTCAAACTAAAACTTGAGAATGACACCAAAATTCAGAGATGAGTTTAAAAGTGGGAAGTCATAAATAGATGTATTAGATGCAGTTACCTCCATGTGCTGCACTCTCTGGTCATGGTCCGGAACCAGGGCTTTGATGTTCTCTAGTACGGCCGACTTTGGGTCAGCATCGGGCACCTCTTGCACTGGGGCCGCAGCCATGTTGGGCACCTGAGGAGGCCGGTGGTCTTGTACCGAGGCCAGCCTCTTGAGGGTGTAGAGCGTCCCCGTCAGCTTCTTGCACCTCTTCAGGGAGTTCTCAATCTCATTCGGTTCTTCCTTCAAGAATCTGAAAATGATGCAAGACAAAGGTTCTGATTATCTGTTTTCAAATGAATTCTATTAAAAATTATCTTCATGTATCGACTCTAAGTGAAAGACTCCATCCCTTTATGCCACTTTTCATAATGGTATGTGGCAGGCTTACACTAAGCAGTGTTTTATTATGTTAATAATGATGCCTTTTTTTTGTCTGGGTAAGAAATACAGAAATATTAGTTCAGGGAATGTGGATGCAGCAAACTCACTATGCTTCAAGACATTAAAGGAAACAAAAAAATTAATTAAGTTAAAAAATTCTGCAAAACTTCCCTTTTCGAGAAAAATGGGAAACTTTCAAGATAGCATCTTTTACCTAAAATAGAACAAGGCACATACAAGGAACGCCAAATCTGTCACTTACTTTTCTTCCGAGACAACAAGTCTTAGCTCCGAGTCCATCACTTCCTTCATCTGTTCATGGATCTCCGGAAATCGAGCTGAAGAAAACCAATTCAACATATATGTCTCCGTTCTATTAATCTATTTGGGTTTTTTTACTTGGGTGAGATGTTGAGAAATACAGGGACACAAAGATGACAGTTAATATAGAAAGATAAGAGTGACAAAAAAAACTTTCACCCTCTCCCACAACCTCGAATTAATGTGGTCTATCAAGGTAGCAAATTACACAAAACAATATATCATTTAATTAGATTCTGTTCTTGAAGCTTTCAATTCATCTGTGCAGTCTCTTGAAAGGAGAAGACTTAAAACGAAGTTTTGGTATGTTGGAATGATGATGGTCACATTCCGGTTAGGAGTAAAGAGAAGCACATCACTACATTTTTTTAAAATTAACCCCAATAAATCTTGCACTTTACCTTTCTGGTTTTAGCACTTGCAACACAATTAGGAAAGATTAGAGGTGTTTAAAAGAGAGTTTTTTAGTATGAGTTTTACGGCACTTGCAACACAATAAGGTCATATAAGTGCCAAAGATCAGAGGTGTTACAAGAGAGTAACAAACACAGAATAGAAGTAGGAGATATCAGGACGATAGATGTTTGATAGGAAAGAAGGAGCAAACCATACCAGAGCACCCACCAACCACCCACGTTACAAGAGAGTAACAAACACAAAAAAGGAGGAGAGATAACAACGATAGACATTTGATAGGAAAAAAGGAGCAAATTATATACCAGAGCACCCGCCAACCACCTACTGAACAAGGTCTATCCTATGCACACCAATAGCAACAGGAAAAAAGTCAAAGGGTGGACAGACAGACATTGAAGAAACAGGGTGTAGGCTACAAGTGACATGAAATCCAATTACCCAGAAAATATGAGCATCTTGACAACACTCATACATTGCCAAACTTTTACTCTTGGACTCAGCAATGCAACATACATAAAATGTGGATCACAAAGATTGTACATGCATAATTTTGTATTTAATCTTAAAAGAACACACACTTTACCTTTGAGATCAGCCAGATTTTTGGTGATGTTGCTCAGCAACAGAGCCATGCCCTCTACGTCAGCATTATTGACACGACACTGTCGAGAGATGACATCTGTGCGGAGTTCTTCAACACTCGCCTCAAGGTCACTGTGACAGAAACCAAAACAACCAATGAAATTGAACCTCGTTTCATCAGAGATATAATATAATATAGGGAGGGGCAGAGTGTACTTTGAAAACTTTCTGAGCCACGACAGGAACAAAGAGCAGGAATCTGGTGCTCATATGACCTTATGCAGTTGCGAGCGCCGTAAAACCTCTACTAAAACTAAAACTAAAAGAACATGAACAGTCAAAATTGTCTAAGACGGCCACCCATTGTCTGTCTTAGACAGGTGGATGTCTTATACAGTGTCATTATAATTTATTTTTTTTATGCAGTGGGAGGAGGAGGGGGGGGGGGGATTGGAAGTAGCTCTTTGTACAGGTGATTGTCTTATACAAGGTGGCCATTAGAACAGGTTTGACTGTATTAATATTAATATTATAAAAGACTTACTTTTTCTTCACGTTTGTTTGTTTGTTTGTTTGTTCGAGTATGTGTTTTATGGCACTATAAACTCATTTTGGTCAATTTGCTTCAGGCTTTCAGTCCAATTCTCTTCACTTTATAAAAAGAATACAGAAGATAATAAAAATATTTATTTGGCAAAAGTTCTGAACATTCTACATGTACAACTACCAGGTACAACAATGGAACTGAACAGGCCCCTACAGAAGACTTCTGGAGTTGGGGGAACCACTTACATTTCTTGTACATGAACGACAACACTGACAGAGTAATTGGAGTGAATATATCCAGTCATGTGGGGGATAAATTTTTGCCTCTCACTGCAGATGGTCTGACAAACACCAAAAGCATGCCTTGAGATAGTGAGTAATTGTAGAGTTGATGCTCCCAGCGAGTCCACATGATGTTGGCTACAGTTCATCAGGAACAGACATCAAATGCTTAGTATTATAAAACTCCATTATACGACAATTTTTGCAAAGTCATTTTTTAGATATAAATGATTACCGTGTCACCAGATACATTGTGTCAAAAGATGAGGTATCTACCATTTCCGGTTTTGAAGCCGCAATACTACACAAGTTTGAGTTTCATAAACTGGATAGTAAGTCAATGAATCAGTTGGGTTGGGGTTTTTTGGGCTTCTCCAGAACAAGCGGGCTAAACCAGATTTCAGGTGTGTCCAGAAATCTTGATCTACCCCAAAAGTAGGCATTGCCCTACCTATAGGGGAAGTTTGGCTTCACAGGTGTGTACATTTGTTTGGGTACAGAGAAAACTCTCCTTGTCTTTAAAAGAAACTGAACAAGGGGCAAAAGCTTTACCTTCGATTTTCTCAAAACAGCATTTTTTAGGACAGCCCCCTTGTGCTTAAAAAGTTACCACATATAGACAAAACGAAATCTCAAAGACAACTTGAAAGAGCAGGCCACCCAACATCACCCACCCGCCGCCTACAAAAGACTGAGAAAACTGACCCGAGCTCCTTGTCCACCTGCTGCTTGTCACTCAGGTAAGTAGTCTTCACCTGCAGGGCACCCACCCTCTTGTGTACGTTCACCTGGTTCTCTGCCCCCGGCACACAGGACAGGACGCTCTGATGGGGCAAGATGCAGAAATGAGTACATGATTATACATGTGCATACTTTAATTTTAGTAAGAGTTTTAAAAGAGAGTTTTTTAGTAAGAGATTTACGGCACTTGCAACACAATAAGGTCATATAAGTGCCGAAGATTAGAGGTGTTACGAGAGAGTAACAAACACAAAAAAGAAGGAGGGGAGATAAGGATGACAGATGTTTTGATAGGAAAGAAGAAGCAAACCACATCAGAGCACCCACCAACCACCCACTATGCATACCTTGTTCAGAACAATACAGTTTATGGAAGATGTTATGTATATTTTGGTTACTCCTGACAATATAGTCAGCATCAGTTGAGAAAACAGAATTTGGTATGAAGGAGGGATTAAGAGAAGAATAGAAAACAAAAACGAAGAGAATGAAAGATTTTAAAATTATAATTATGTTTGTAATTGTAGGAATATTTGTTTGAGCACTGCTTAATTTTTTTTCCCCCTTTTTTTTCAGGACAGATGTGTGAGCTGGCGGAGGGGTTTTTGAGATATATACTACTGGTGAGGAGTAAGAAAAACAAGGCACAGGCACAAGACATAACGTTGGAAGAGACCAAAAGAAAGAACTTTTAAGAAAAAGTAGTTCAAAGGAAGCAGGCTTGACATCTTTTTGGCAAGTCTTAAGAAAAAAAATACATCATAAATTCAAAGTAAGTCAAAATTGTCTTACAAGACGGTCACCCTTTGCCGATGAGAAAAGAGTTTTTTTTAGACAGGTGGACGTCTTGAACAGTATCATTATAAAATAAATATGAAGCAAGATGGAAGTGGAAAGTAGCCATTTGTACAGGTGATTCTCAGGGACAGGTAGTTGATAGTATCCTGTTGTCAGAGCAGTTTAATTGAAGAAAAGGGGAATTTTTACTCCCAGCCAACCTTGAAAAATGATGAAATGGTATTGGTTTAACGCCCCTATCAACACTTGCTAGGTTATTTAAGAAGCAGGACCTCCGAGTTTAACGTCCATCTCTGAAAGAACCGAGTCAAATAGGAAATTCATGTAAAGTGCCTTCCCCAAGGACACAACATTGGACCGAGCTGAGGCTCAAACCCCCCCAACCCACAATCTCACGATTACGGTCCGGTAGCCTAACTACAAGGATACTGACGCCACTGTGGATGTCTTGGACAGTATAATTATAATAATATATAGATGAAAAACGCAAGATGGAAGTGCAAAGTGGCTATTTGTACAGGTGATTGTCTTGGACAGGTAGTCAACAGTATCCCACTGTCAGAGCAGGTTCAGTTGAAGTACGGTAAACGGGAATTTTTCCTCCCAGCCCACCTTGATCTGGGCGAAAGTGTTGGAGAGCTCGTCCCTCACAGCTTCCATGTTCAGCTGTTGCTGCCTTCGGAGCACCTGCAGGTCCGACTTGAGCTGTGCTAGTTTGGCACCCACTTCTGCCTGTGCGCTCAGTGGAGTGCTTTCCCCTGACGACCTGTGGGTGTGTAGGTGGTGGGGGCCGTCCGGTATGTCTGACGAAAGGCCTGGGAGGAGACACAGAGAGAGAAGAGGACATATTATTACATGTATCTGAGACTGGCGTATCAAGAATGAC